TCCTAATTAGAATGCCAGCTGACCTAGACTCTGCATATTTTATTGGAATGCTGACAGCTCTGAGATTGTAGCTTAATCTAAGAAGCACTTATAACATCAAAATCTGCATGCAAAACAATTCAAAAACACCTGAAATCATAATATTGAATGCTGGCCTAAAAAAGTAAGAATTAAAAGATAGGACAGAAGCAGTTCACTATGTTTTTGATATAGTTTGAGATGGATCCCAAAGGGATCATGTTAGAAGACTGGTTCTCAGTGTAGTAATGTTGAAAAGTGGGATCTTTGGGAAGTAGGGCTGTTCTAAGAAGGGATTGAGATAGCTCTCATGAGACTCCTGAGCTCACGAGTGAGTTGTTAAAGCATGAGTCTAACCCTTGAATTATTCTCTAGATTTCTGCTTTAAGGTATAATCCCTTTGTCATGTGCCCCCTGCTATTAGGACACCATCCACCTTGAGGTTCTCGTTAGAGCAAGCCAGTGCTGGTATTTGCCCTTAAATCTCCAGAATTATGTATGGACTGAGTAGAAATCTTTTCCTCATAAAATTAGCCTGCCTCTGTTTTTGCTGTAATAATACAGATGCCACAGAATAGAGCACTTTAGATATAAAGGTGGATAAGTTTCAGATACTACTGAGAGGTCAAGAAATAAAAGACTAATATGTCCATAGCATGACAACAAGGAAACCATCATAGCTTTGATACAAATGGCTTCCTAAGGTAGTGGCAGCAGGAGGCTTGCTGCGTTGGATGGAGGACTGATGATAGGAATGGGTACAGAAGGTAGACATTTTTTTTTAAGAGGTGGATAAGAAAGATACAGAGCACAAACCAGAGAAGTTTGAAAGAAACCTTTGATCCTGCTTTGATTCCTGTTTGTTGGTGTTGTGATGGAAACATTGTATGTGATTAAATGTGGAAAGTCACCAGTAGAAAGACAAAGACAGGAGAGGGGAGATTCAGTCTCCCCAAATCCAGAGGGGGGATCAGGTGGAGGGGAGAGTAGGAACTAAGAGGAAGACACTGTTTCCATGACAACAGAAAGGAGGAAGTTATTGGCTTTAATATCTTTAGATTTATGTTTAGATGGGGTTTTGGTGTAAGCCAATATACATATTGTACATAAAGGATCTACGCAGACATTTAATTTGGTTTAAGCAATTAATATTCAGTTTATTAAGATTGCACATCTAAACAGTCGATTCTTCCTTAGATTTATCTTCATCTCACAAATCTTAATTCTGTTTACAGGCCCAGCAAAATTGAACAGTCACTTTCCAAGGAGATTTGATTAATGTTTGGTCCTTTTAACCAACTTGAATACATTCAAATATTTTAAATGACAAAAAGTGATGTATTCCATTTCCTTTTTAAGTGCCTCATTTATCTATGTATTATAAAACCTTGCTGAGTACTTAATAATTGTTATAAAGCTATTAAATTAAATTGACAGAGTGGACTTAAAGACCTAAGTGTTACTGTAGTATGCATAAATGTGGGAAGAGTTCAGCTTGAAATTATAACTCTAATAATTCAGCTATTCATTTTAAATTGGTTTTCAAAAGTTGTCACCTTGTCAAATTCCATAAATGTTAGTAGGACAGAAAAGGCCAAATGTGCACAAAAATATTAATAGCATGGATTTGGTGCTTTAAACCGTTCTAAACTTTAAGTTTTAAATCTTCCCAAAGTTGAATTATGTAGGCTCATCAAGGGATACCATTATTTGGAAATAACTGAGGCTTTTGTCTGCCCAAAATTCTGATGGAACTACAGGCACATGGAGCAGTTTACAGCCTCCCCACTATACTGAGCCCTTTTTAGAGTAGCTAAGTTACAGCTACTTTCAATTTATTTATTTATTTGTTTATTTTATGCATTTGAGTGTTTTGACTACATGTACGTAAGTGCACCTGTGTCATGCAGTGCCCCTGGAACTAGAGTTATGGACAGTTGTTAGCCACCATGTGGGTGCTGGGAATGGAACCCAGGTCCTCTACAAGAGCAGCTGGTGCTCCTAACTACTGAGCCATCTCTCCAGCCATATATATATATGGATATATATATATATATATATCCAAATGTGAAAGCTCTTTCAGTTTGCTGAACTTCTCTGAGATTTTTTATTTTCTCTTTATACATAGTTTTGAAGTTGATCACCTAAAATAAATAAATGCTTCCATTATTTTGCTGGGAATCTAACCCAGGGTCTCACACACGCTGGGCAAATGCTTTGTGACTGAGCCACATCCCCAGCATCAACAAGTAATGTGGTTGTTTTGTTGGTGGGGGTGCTAGGGGTAGAATTTAGGTTTGCTCACACAAGGCAAGTATTCTACCACTTAGCTACATCGCTGACCTAAAATTACTTTTTATTTAATGATAAATGAAATACTAGATACTTACGTGTCTTTTCTATTTAAAGAAGTTTGGACTTGATGGAATCCTGCATTCTTTAATATTTTTAGGCCCACACAATGGTTGTGGATGCTCAGATAATGTCTAAATAGGTTTTAGGTGTCTTTGATCAATCCAGGTCTGATTTTCTCTACCTTATAAGGTTATTCTTTTGAGAGTTTAAGGGGACGAGGAAGGAAGTCTAGAGTTTTCATCTGATGCTTTCTGCTTTCTCTTAGAGTTAGGGTATGAAGGCCTCTGTTAAAAGAGGTGGGAGTTATATGGGAGAGGGTGAGAAAAAACTTTAAAGTCGCATTTAATAATGTGAGATATTTTATTTTTACTTCTTTATTTTTGTGTGTGTGAGGTGCACAGAACCATATGCCATAGCACATAGGTGGAGGTCAGAAGACACCTTTGTGGAATAGGTTCTCTTTTTCTAACTTTATGTGGGTTCCAGGAATTGAACTCAGGTCATCAGGCCCTCACAGCAAGAGCCCTTACCCACTGAGCCATCTTGGCTGCCCCATGCTGCTTATTTTATAGGCTTATAAGTCTGTGACATATGGCCAGTTAGTGGAGATAATATTCATTATGAGATGTATTCATAATTCATACTTGGCATTTAATTTATATTTTTTGTTTAGTGTGCACATTTAGTTACTTGAGTATTTCCATTGATTATAAATATTCCTTGTACCTGGTCAAGAAGTCCCAGCTCAATGTCAAGGACATTATTAATAAAGTAATTGAAGTAGTCACTTATTACACAGCAAAAAGTTCTGGAGTCCTTTGACATTTCTTTCCTGTTTGCTAGCCAATTACCAGCTGTCAGGGTATATTAAATATTGTATATTTGAATTAGAAGCTGTCATCCTGAGCGTATTAACTCTTCCTAATAATAGGTAGTGATTGGCCCTAAGAAAGAATGATATTAGTCATTATCATCTTACCTCTGACTTCCTGATGTCATAAAGTTGCCACTGGGTTCCATTGCCAAATGAAGCAAATCAATGTAGACACCACAAATGAACTCAGACAGTCATGAGTAGTGGGTATTCCATTCACGTTAACAAGCCTCTCCCTGTTTCCAGACAGTAGGAAAACCGACAGCCAGCTTGCAATGCTTTCCACTTCTTAGTCTGAAAACTTGTTTTTTCTTACTATTACTGCCTAACATTTGTGATCACAATGTTATATAAATAATTTCTCTTGACCTTCAAGATATCTGTGAGGTTATTGGTTCTGATAGTTTAAAAATTTTCCCATTGTGTATGTTCATTGTACATGTTACTGTGTTACATGTGTTACTGAACTCCAACGTAGACAGGCTTAGAGAATAACAATTTATTTTTCTCCCACAACAGAAAAGATGGAGACAGGCAGTTCTTTGTGGTGCCTTCATCAGCGCCAGCACCAGGGACTCTGACTCAGGCTCTTTGCCCTTTCCCTGAAAGCAGCAAAAATGGCTGATTCAAAGTCAAGCATCATGCCCACATTTAGGAAAGCCAAAGCTTCCTTATTTACACGTCATTGTGAAAAACTGCTACACATGACCACCCTTCTCTGCAAGCATGGAAAACAGGAGGGAAAAGGGAGTTGGGGGTGACTGATGACCAGCCTCAGAGTTATAGAATCTATAAGCTGTGCAAGCATCCCTCTCTTACTTCCTTTTCTCCTACCTATAAAAACGCTCTGCTCTTTGTGTGGTTAGCGCCTGATGTAGGATTCCTCCCTTGTTTTCTACTATGTGTTCTTGGCCAGTAAGAGAAAGTTGTGGCTCCACTCACCCAGCTGGGACTCACTGAGTGCAAGCAACAGAAACTACTGCACACGGAAGTGAGAAATGGATAAATTCCAGACATTTATCCAACAAATATTCGTTAAGCATTCTTCTCAGCTCTGGGGATTGGTGGGAGGGAAAAAAAGAAGAAGAAAGAGGAGAGAGAGGAAGAGAAAAGGAGGGAGGGAAAGAAGGGGGAGAGGACACATGCATGAGAGAGAGAAAATGAGGCAGGGAGGGAGGAAGATGAGAGGGAAGAAGGAAGAGGAAGACACAGAAAGAGCGAGCAAGAGAAAGAGTGAGAGAGAGAGGAGCAAGGAGGGAGGAAGAAAGGAGAGAAACTATGAGGGAATCTCACAGAATAAAGCTAGGAACGCAGCTGGTCCTAGGGCTAGAAACCCAGAACTAGAAGCAATGGGAAATCCATGCAGCTCCTCCAGGTGTGTCTCCACTTTGTTCACTCTGTTTTCTCTTAGCCAACCCAGTGAATTGACAGGGCCTAAGTTTCATCTGTTCACAAAAACAACTCACACTAAACCACAGTCTCTAGACTGCTTCAGAAACCAGAGAAATAGAACTTAACACTGCAGTGTTACCTCTGCAGGTGAGGGATGGAGTTACAGTGTCATTTGACTGGAGCTCACGAAGCTTTCTTCAGCTGCCACCTGTCTCCAGGCTAGTTGATATCCTTCCTGGACACTTAGCCAAACCACAACCCCATCCATACTAGTGCTCCTAACCTACCCATCCCACAGGTCTTCAAGTTAACTCTGTCTTGAAAGGCACATTTACTTAGCTGCCTAAGAATTATTGTCTGCCCAACATGGATAACCCAGGCGGTCACTCTCTCTGGGCTCTGTCCTAGTGGCATAGGGTAGCATAGGTTTCTGTCCCATGATGTGCAGTCACTTTCTACCATTGGAGATGAAGCTGGACTTTGAGTCTTTACCTGTATAGTCCTAAAACTTCTCAGAGTCCTGTGGATGATGACTGGGGAGACAAACCATGCAGGAAACAGTCCTAGAAAAAAAAAAAAAAAAAAGAATTGGCATCTGAGTCAGGCTGGAGAGATGGTTCTATGGTTAAGAGCACTTGCTGCTCTTGCTGAGGACCTGAGTTCAGTTCCCATCACCTGTGTTGGGTGACTCACAACCACCTGTAGCTCTGGCTCCAGAGGATCTGATGCCCTCTTCTGGTCTCTGAAAGCAACCCTCCCCCCACCCAC